ATTTCGTCTTATTTTGGTCACTTCCTATTATTTTGCTGACGTGATATGTTGATAAAAATGATTAAATTTTAACATAACCACTGAATTTTAGATAGAATACTATAAAATATCAATTTGACCTTGAATCCATCAAAGTTACAGTTTTTATATAGGAATTGAGATAAGATCAATCTCATCGAATACCAACAAGATATTGAAGAGCCCACCTTACTAATAACAGTCAAGAATGAAGAGAACAATGATGCAAGCACATGATATCTTGACAATGGAGCAAGCAATCACACATGTGAAGACAAAGAGGCCTTTGTGAAACTTGATGAGAAAGTTAAAGACAATGTTTTATTTGGAGACTCCTCGAAAGTCCAAATTCAAAGAAAATGAACAATTTTAATTTCTGTAAAGGATAAAAATCATAGCATTATTATTGATGTTTATTGTGGCTAAAGCTAAGAAAGAGTAATATTTTGAGTTTCAGACAATTCATTGAGAATGGTTATGAGATTCATATGAAGGATTGTTGTCTTTGATTAAAAGATCAGTATGTCAATTTGGTTGTTAAAGTATTAGCGTTCAAAACAAAATGTTTGCTTTAATTCTCAAGATAATTGAAGCAAAGTGCTTGAAGACCAACGAGAAAGATGACGCATGGTGTTAGTATATGAGATTTGGTCCTTTTAATTTTGAAATAATTAAGATGCTTGGTGAAAAGAAGATGGCTAATAGAATTATAACCATTAATAATATGAATTATGAGACATGTCTCATACGAAAACGTGTAAATTTGAATTTTTTAAAAGAAATAACATCAAGAGCAACCATGCTCATTAAACTTGTTTATATTGATATATATATATATATATATATATATATAAACCAATCACTTCGACTACATTAGTAAAAATAGACATTTTTTTGTTCTTTATTAATGATTATGGTAGAAAGAATTGAGTTTATTTCTTGAAGTATAAATTTAAGGTCTTCGGTATTTTTAAAATTTTAAAGCTCTTGTTGAAAACAGAAGTGATTATGAGATAAAGTATTTTAAAATATGATATACGAGGATGATTTACTTTTAGTGAATTCAATATTTTATTTATAACGAGTTCTAAAAGTTTTTTATTTATTTTTATTTTTATTAGAATTTTCCGTTTTGTTAGAATTTTTAATGTTTTTAATTATACATAAAAAGGTATTTTTAGATCACGTGAATCTTTTCTTAATATAAATGATCTATTAGTTAACATTATAACAAATTGAAAGTTAGAGACTAAACTGATTGAAAAATAATAAAATGAAAAAAGGGAGAATTTCATTATAATATTACAGTTAAAATAAATATTATTATTTTTTATTGCCATAAATATTAATTTTTTTAATTATATAAGATCATTTAATTTAATGTATTAGAATTATTTAAATAGATAAGGCGAGAACAGCTATGCATCTGTATAACTGTACTTAATATCGAACATCTAAAGTTGCTGAATTTGACTTTATTTCTTTGTTAGGTACCTCTAAGAAGTTGATTGATGTTCTGTGTCATCATCAGAAATAACTTGGAAATGACCACGTTAATTTACTCTCTTAATCACATAGCATTGAAGTATCACAACTCATTGAACCGTCTCAGTAATTAAAATGAATTTTGTTTTCGTTTGAAGTTTTGGATTCGACTAGTTGCATCTGTAAGATGTATATCCATGATTAAAAAATATTTTAAAAAAAAATACTATTTTATAACCACTCAAACTATTTAAAAAAGAATATCACAACTAGTTAACCAAATGAAAATGAAATTTAAAGCCAGAATAAGCTAATCTAATCTTTGATCGTTTGTTAATTTGGACAATACACACAAATGAAAGCAAAAGGCAAACAAATGAAGAGTCAAGCACAAAGACAAAGCTTTGGGTCCCGACCAGAGCAGAAGAGAGCTATGGGTTTGAATAATTGGAGGTGGTTTTAGTAAGAGAAAACAGACGTGAACCTACCATGTAAAATCCACGTGAACTTCGTTTATCTGTCTGGGAACTACCAGATAAGCTTTGGGACAAGAAATAATCAAGTCCACACGGCATTTCTTTATTAAATTAAAATTGATCTTCCCTCTAAAATAGTTAATTTGTTAGGTTTGAGCTAGCTGAGAAAAAGCTACCATTCATAATAAGGAAGAAAACTGAAGTTTTCTGTCATCAACATTAATGTTATGGCTTCAACCACACGTATAACAAATTAGCTTACCTTATATATTAAAGTCTCATAATGATGACAAGATATAGATATATATAAATTTAGTGTTATTTTATGCCTAGACCTCCCATTCAACATAATATACGATCTGAACTCATTAAGCGATTTCAGTAGTAAAAGAGAGTATTGTTTTTATTTAAGTCTTGGGTTCGGGCTATTACGTCTGTATGATATGTGCATATTCATTATCAATTGGCTAAGAAAATTTAGAACATATACTACCTTATAATCACCTCATACTAATAAAATAACTCAATATCAGACTTGATTGAGTTCACTCTAGCCAAAACTATTTGCTAATAATCTAATCATAAGCCCTTTTCTTGGACTAAATATGCAAATAAAGGTCGAACCTTTCTAGATGTTGTTTGTATAAGTATCTAACCTTTCAAAACGGTTAAATAAAATTTTAATATGTATAAATAAGCATCTATTTTTTCAAAATGGTCAAATAAGGGCCTAACGTTTCCAAATATGTTCAAATAAAGTCCTAACATTTCCAGAAATAATTTATTTTTCCTTTATTATTTGAGTAGCTACAAAAAATGTCTTATTTGAGAACATTCGAAAACGTTAGACCTAAGGATGAAAAGAGGATAGAACATCCAGGGGCAAATTGTCGAACTTCAAACTTGACAGGGACCTAATTAAGAAGTATTTTAACCAAATAACAGACAAGCTTGATTTGTTTAATTTCAAATTTTAGAGGAACCTAATAAGTATTTAAACAAAAATAGGAGTTGGGGCTTAACTTGAGTATTTTCAAAATTGATAGGATTTAAAAAGTGATTAAATGAAAATAGGGGGCATGGCTTGAGTTAAAGTAACTTCAAAACTGTTAAGGCCTTAAAAGGTAATTTCACCAAAATAATTGAGGAAGGGGAGAGATGGGCTCCCATTTGCATGGTAGTTTTGTCCTTGGTTATACCTTTATTCAACATTTTGAAAGGTTGAAATCTTATTTGAGGAGATTCAAAAAAAGTTAGGTTATTATTTGATCATTTTCAAAGGTTAGAAATATGTGAGTAATCTCTAAAATATTAGATATTTAAATTTTGTTTGATTTACGTACACGTAATATTTATTAATGGCTAAACTACTAAAAGAACCCTTAAACTAATTTACTTTTATCAAATCAGCTTTTACCTAAATAAGTCCCTATACTTTGGTTCATTTGTATTAATCTTATTTCAAATGAAACCATAGACTTATTTGGATACGAGTTAAAGATTAAGTGATTGTCACTTAAAGTTTTAGAGTTTATTCGAATGTAATAAAAGTTTAAGAGTTTGTTTTAATAGGCGAAAAGATCATAATAATATATGGATTTTGACTGAATATATTATATGATATATAAATTTTGATTTTCCTTTAATTTCCTCAAGCTAAAGCTTAAGGTTAAGTTTTTTAAATAAGATCCGAGATTTAAGTCATAATACTATAAATAAAGTCATTCGAGTCGAGAGAATTATATCATTCCCATAATAAACTTATACACTATATAATCAAATTAAAATCAAATTTAATCTATATATAACTAAAATTAAAATTTCATATATATAATTAAATACCACATCAAAATTTTATAATAAATAACTACTAAAGTTAAATTTTTTATTTTTCTTGATCCAAATAAAAACAATTAATTTTATTAAAAAAGGAAAAATTCAAAATTATAATTAAGGTTTACAACTATAAGCGTAAACTAAACATATAATTATGATATTTCTTATAACCATAGACACAATAAATTAACCACTTGATATCATACAGACCATACAACTATAAGGAAAAGATTAAAAGCTCATCCAAAAAAAAACTCGAATAAATTATAGATACAAATGGATATGACTACATCATCAAAAGAATCGTAAAAGAGGGTCAAACTATTGAAAAACCACAAACAATTGTAAATCATAGTCGAATGTTGTGAGAAAACTATATTCGGACGCAAACCTTGTACCCAAATTCAATAAGAGAATCCAAAACAAGAAAAATCAATATGATAACAAATAAGTATTAACTTGATTAATCAATGTGACGTCAAATCTAACCCTGAGAAAATTAATAAAAAAGAAATGTCAAACGATCGATAAATAAGATATAAAACGTGTCAAAAGACAGAGAAAAGCTTATCATAAAGGTATAGAAAAACATATCATGAAAGTAGAATTATTAAAAAGTAAAAAATTAAAGAAAAATAAAGATATAATATACGAAAATAGATAAAAATAAAATAAAAAATATTGATGATTGATAACTAACACTAAAATTGATATAGCTTCCTTACAATAAAATTACAGAAAAATGGACAAACGGGGACTGAAGTAAAAACCCAAAGAAAAAGTTAAAATTTTTATTATACATTAAATAAAAATAATAATATTTAACCACCCAAATAAAGTGACAATGTTTAAAGGCGTATTTAATATCACCTAAATGTTAATCAGATGGATAGGATAGCTAACAGTAACAGACAGTGGAGTCGTAGATATACAAAATAGATAATTTGCGGCAAACATCCATTGGAAGCATCAAAACCCACTGACCAGTGAAATAGGGCATTGGTTAGCACAGTCTTTTTCTTTCAAAACATTAACAAACCGATAGCGACATGGCCACAATGAAAGAAGAGACGATCTTTATTCTTTTCTTATTAGTATTATTAAAATACGAATTAGACCTTAATTTCATGAAATATTAAGAAACAATCACCCCTTTATCCCGGGCACATGTCCCTTAAGCTAATCTTTGATAGATGGTCGAATCATTATTTCTGGTCCTTTTGTTATTCTCAAATATTAATTTGAATGCCTATACTTTGGGTCTCGTGAATTCTGTTTTGACTACGAACCATACCTGAATTCATGGGCGGTTCAAAGCACTAGACGTCGATATCTGTCGCAGTTTAATTATTTTGTCAGTCACTGTTCCATGTTGTGTTTTCTTTAATACTGTTCTTCTTTGTATACAAATACTACACTTTTTCTGGTTTCAAAAGCCAATAACTTTTTTCATTTACAGTTCAATTCAACGCCAAAAGTTCATGGAGATGGAGAGTGGGGTTTTCTCGGCTTGGGAGAGTGGATTTTTGTCGGAAGATGGCGATGGTCAACTGAAAGCAGCGGCATCACTGCCATTAATCCCTCAGCCACAAACACCCAAGGAGCCCATGGAGTTTTTGTCCAGATCCTGGAGTTTATCCGCGCCGAAAATCTCCAAGGCTCTTGCCCAGAAACACAAACAATTCGATTTCGATAATGTTAATCAAACTTCATCTCCTGATTCCTTTGTTGCACCACAAATTGTAAGTGATATCTTGTTCTTAGCACCAGAGAATTAAATTGCGTTGTAACTATCGCGATTACAAAAGTATGAATTATTGCAGTCATTATGAATATTACCATTATGCAATAATGGATTCAAATTATACTTATAACATCTGCTATTCTGATAGTGGACGCTATTTAAATCTCAACTTAGCTTCATAGGTATGCCCTTTTTCTTCTTCTTCTTCAACCTCGAATCCTCAGAGTCCTTGGCTTTCCGTGGATTAAAAACCGAAAATATTATCCTTTCTTCATAGATTTCTTTGCATATTTTAGCTTCTGTTTCTACTTTTTTCTGATCACAGTTTTAGATCCTCTACTATGTTAAAATTGAATATTTAAATTATGTCATGTCATAATTTAGCCATTCTATTTTATAATATTATTCATATGTATAACTGAGTAATAATATAAAAATGTACATATCATTTGAACGGCTGCATCAATTTAAATCATCTAATAATATTATAAAATCAGAGAGGTGGAACTATGCTAAATTAAAATAGAGGAATTTAATTTCAAAATCTATCATGATAAAGGGACTAAAACAATAATTAAACCCGCTTTCTTCCCTGTAAAGACTGCTAATTTCTTTGAATATGGTTGGATAACAGATTTCAAATTTCTCAGCCATAAAGTTTCATTTTTGAACTTTACTGCCTGGAAAATCCCATTGTTTGTTTTTTTATTTCCGTTTCTGTAGGCAGGGAAAGTGATGAACTCAATTAACGCTCGAAGAACAGGAACAATTGGGAAATGGTTTCATCACCACAAGGAATTAGGAACCAGCACGGTGAAGAAGAAAGATAAAATGCGTGCAGAAAATGCTCGGCTGCACTCGGCTGTTTCCATTGCAGGACTAGCCGCAGGCTTGGCCGCAGTAGCCGCCGCCGGATACTCCAATGGCGGCGGCGGAGCCTCCACGGGCTCAAAAATGAGCATGGCATTGGCATCCGCCACGGAACTTCTAGCATCCCATTGTATCGAATTAGCCGAGCTAGCCGGGGCTGACCATGACCGAGTTGCTTCAGTTGTTAAATCAGCAGTGGATATTCAAAGTGCAGGTGATTTGATGACTCTCACTGCAGCAGCTGCAACAGGTAAGAACAAATTCAAAACCAACTCCATATGAATTTCCACACTGTTTCTTTTTGGGTAAAGTACATAAATGGTGTCTTATGGGGATATTTTTTTTAATTCTCAACTATTAAAAGTTATCAAATATCCCTTGATTATAGGGTATTATTTTGTTGAGTCTTCTTATTATTAAATTTTATAAAATGGTGCCTCAATTATTTATAACTTCCAAACTCAACATTTTCTGTTAAAAATCAGATAACCGTCTGAGTTGTATATTAAGTTGTTGATTGATATATGATAAAATTTTATATTTGAACCATTTGAGCTTTATTTTGTGGATCGACTCTATGTTTATATTGTGCTGTCGAGCCAGTGCTTGAAACATTATGTTGTTGAGCCAGTGTTTGAATACAAAGACGGTGCCAATAGACATCAATAAAATATGATTTTATTATATTTGAGTCAGCAGATTAACGTCAAACTCAAACAGTCGTCAACTTTTTAACAAAATATGACTAGTTTAGAGCACATAAATAATATGGGGATCGTTTTATAACTATTAATAGTCAAAAGACTCAACAAAACAATATCCTATAATTAAGGGATCATTTTGTAACTTTTAAAAGTTAGTATACTCTACCCTTTCTTTCTTTTTTTGTCCCAAGTTGTTGATTTTGTAATTTAATGCGATGGGTTGTGAATCATAATTTAGCCTTGAGAGGTGAAGCAGCTTTGAAAGCAAGATTACCCAAAGAAGCAAAGAAAAATGCAGCTATAAGTCCATATGAGAGGAGTTTGATAGAAACTCATTGGGCTGCTGCTGCTGCTGGTTTTCATGCTCAAATGGACCAGAATCCTCCATGCCAGGGTGAACTATTGCAACACACACGAAAAGGTGGTTCATGAAATCCATTCATATAATTTCAGATTTAAATCATTTTAGGTTCGAATTATACATCCGAATCACTAGTTACTGCTATTTTCAGGTGTCTTGAGAGGGAAACGGGTGAATGTCTACATCAACAAGAAATCTCAGGTACCAAAAAGAAAAACTAATTTGACGTTTGCATATTGCATGTTGCAAGCTCTCACAAAAGCTATACCATTGTCAGGTCATGATTAAGCTCAAAAGCAAACACGTTGGGGGAGCATTCGCCAAGAACAACAAATGTAAGCACTTTTGAGTACAGCTTTACAAAAAGCAATTTTTTTTGCACAGGCATCGTGTACATAAATATATGGATAAAATACACAAATAGTCCCCGACTATAGGATGTTGCTTTTTTGACTCTCTGATTATTAAAAAATTATAAAAAGATCACTTAATTATAGGGTGTTGCTTTGTTGAGTCCCTCGACAATTAAAAGTTATACAATGGTCACTCGACTATTCATATGTTCCAAATTCATCCTTTTTCGTTAGAAAATTAGTGGTCATCTGAGCTAGACATTAACATGCTGACTATGATATGATAAAATCTTATCCCATAATCTTTTGAGCTTTATTTTGTAGATTGAATCACATTTATATTATGTTGCCGAGTTAGTTCTTGAAAGCAACAACATTGACAATAGACATCATTAAAATATGATTTTATCATATCCTGATCAACAAGTTATCGTCTAGCTCAAACGACTATCAATTTTTTAACGGAAAATGATGAGTTTGGAATATATGAATAGTCGGGTGACTATTTTGTAACTCTTAATAGTCTAAGGATTCAATAAGAATGCCCTATAGTCGAAGGATCATTTTGTAACTTTCAATAGTCGGGGGGCTCAACAAAGCATCACTCTACAATCGGGGACCATTTATGTACATTACCCTAAACATATATACTTGAAAGGTTTTTTATTTTATGAAATATTTAAATATCATGTTACTAATTTACTTATGTACTAGAAGGTATTGTTTATGGAGTGTGTGATGAAACTTGTGCATGGCCATATCGAAAAGAAAGGGAAAGTTCAGAGTCAGTGGAGCTGTATTTTGGGGTGAAGACAGGGCAAGGTCTTTTAGAGTTCAAGTGTAAAAGCAAGATTCATAAGCAGAAATGGGTCGATGGCATTCAATATCTGCTGCGACAGGTCTGCTGTGCTGAAGCAGCTGAGCTTTCTATGGAGTCTTTGACTATTAAAGACACTGTATAATCGTAATAATAATATTAATAATATTTTCATAGTATATAGTTCGTGTATACACAACGAAATTTGGTTTGTTTAAATTATGGATTTTATACGGAAAACGAGGAAAAAAGGAACTTTCAATGTGTGAGCAATGAAACAAGTGCTTGAGGGTTGCACGGGAAGAGGTCCCTTTTGCGAGAAAGAATAAATGAATTTTATGTCAAATTGATCATAGTAATATGATCTAATTAAAGTAAAATAATCAATTCATTCAGTGGAGTATAGTACAAGAATGAAAATCATGATTTAGCCATTCATGATTCGGATTAATCCAGCCAGGGTCTCAATCATTGCATCTAAAGTTAAGTTTGTTAACATTATTTTTCTACAAGTGTTATAGAAAACTACTTTTGAATTATTTAATAATATTTACAAAGAATACTTTAAAAAAGATAAATAATAATTATAGACGTGATGTTGGAAGTTAAATATATATATATATATTTTAAAAATATTTTTAAATTCTTTAATATTATAAATATACATACATTTAGGATCGTTGGATGACTAAAAATAAAATGTTGTGAAAAACTTCTTGTTCATTTTCATATGTATATCTTCTTATTTCTTATTGTTAATCTCAAACGTCAACTTCCTCCCATCTAATGGTTCTAAATCTTTATAGAACTAAAAAGTTTTGCATTGTAGAATTTGTTCTTATTCCTATTAAAAAAATGTCAATTTAAATTATAATAAAAATATATAAAAATAATTTTATTAAAAAATAAATATATTTTAATAATTGTACATGTTTTACGAAAATATAAGAAATTATAAATATTTTTATGTAAAAATTTTGACGTGAAAATATATAAATTTTTTAAACTCATAAATAATTTATTAACCAATATAATTATATCTTAATAAAAAAATATAAATTTATAAATTATAAAATAAACACACAATAAAATAACAAAGGAAAGTTAACAGTATATTTGGCTCCAAATATACCATTCCAAACGTAATAGTTAGAAATTTCATCTTCTACGTTTAGCTTGAAAACAATTTTCAAATACATTTTTTTCCTCCACAAATTATCTATTTAATATTACTTGTAACTCTAAAAATGCTTTTAGCCTCAAAAACATTTTTGAAAAATAATAAAAAACGACATTAAGTAATAACGTACCTTTTTAGTTTTTAGAGTAAACTACATATTCAGTCTTCCACCTATTCATACAATTTTGTTTTGGTCATAAAACAATTTTTTCTTTAAAATCATACTTAAACGTTACATTTTGATTCCCTTTTATTCACTTGTCGTTAAAAAATAAATAGAACTGCTAATGTGATAATCTTTTTACTTTTTCAATTATGATATGATATTCTCTTATGGTGACACGTCAGCATCACTATTAATTTTTAAAAACAAGTGATCAAAACGGAACTAAAATGTAACGTAGATATAATTTTCAAAAAATAATTGTATGACCAAAACGAAATCATAAGAATATATGAGTGACTAAATACGTAGTTTACTCTAGTTTTCATTTTCTTATCCCAAGAAACTGGCAATGAAAAAAATCTGGGATTAAAGAAACGTGGTTTGTCGCCCACCAACCAGTTGGTTAGCTACAGCTACTTAGTTTTTGATGTTGGACATAGAAAAGGACAAAAAGGGGAAGAAACAAGATAAGGAAAGGAGAGGGTGCAATGCATTTTGAACCACAAAAAATGCAAGATTTTCGAAAGCTGGCATTAGAGATTTTGTCCATCTTGTGTCTTAGAATACAACGGTCCTGTTGTCCTCGAATGGTAACACTCGCAGATCACAGTACCATCTCAAAGCCTTTGCAAGACATTGCTTCTCAAGGTTCTCTGATTTTTGCACAAAACTCTGCAAATTGTCTCTATGAGTAACTCTTTCAACCTGTCATAAAATGATACATTAACATCATTACCGACATTGAATTGCCCTAAAGAATTCCCACTTTAAGATTTTAGATGCTCTGTATTCACTATGTTCTATCATTTAAGGGTGTTTAATATGTTGGCATGGTCAAGATGTCATTAGCCAAATAATTTGCAGAATATTATGGATTAATAAAAAAAGGGTAAATTGTACATATGACCACTGAACTATTGCCTCTTTTCATTTTGATAACTGATTTTTTTTTTAATTTTATCAATCAATCCACTTAACTATTTAAGTTTGCCAATCAAACCACCAACTGTTAACTTTTAACGGAACAACTTAAGTGGAGGTTAAAATATCTGGTATAATTACACAATTGATCTACAGTATTTACACATTCTATCAATTTTATCATAATTTCAATTTAATAAATTTAATCTCCAATTAAATGTACCAAATATTATGATTGAATTGATAGAATGTGTAAATATTATAGACCAAATATGTAATTATACCAAATAAATTGATAGAATGTGTAAATATTATGGACCAAATATGTAATTATACCAGATATTTTAAGTGCCATATCAATTGTTCCGTTAAATTTTAACGGCTAGTGATTTGATTGAAAAACTTAAATAGTTAAGTGATATGATTAACAAAATTGAAAGATCAGTGGTCAAAATGGAGATGAGCAATAGTTTAGTGATCATAGGTATAGTTTAATTTAACCTAAAAAAACCCTTCATCTAAGTCGAGACAAGTTAACTTCACAAGCCAAAGCATGTTCAGACCACTGGAAATTGCACTTTCAGCTATTACTTGATGTTCAAGAAACAACGTTTAGTGCCGCGGTAAATGAATCGAATAATACCATTTGTTCGATAATAGGCCCCGAATCGAGTTCTTCGGTTACGAAGTGGCTCGTTGCACCAATTAACTTCACACCAGCATCAAATGCCTGCCAACACAGTCTAAAAAAATTAACATGCATCTAGAGTTAGGAAAGAAGCATAATGTGGTCAATAATCTTCAATTACTGATGGATAAGCAAAAAAAAAAAAAAACTCACCTGTTTCGAAGGATTCCAACCTTTAAATGATGGTAAAAGGCCATGGTGAATGTTAATTACGTCCTTCCCATATGTCCTCAAAAATTGACCAGATAAAACCTGCAAAATATACAGTTATTTTCCAGCTTCTAAACATATAGAACTAGTTGATTCATTCGAATACACCTGAAATCTGTGTACGTTACATAATTGTTTAGTATAGACACTGCAAGATTCAGCAAAAAGTTTAATTCTAGTAACCTCATTTACCTGCATGTACCTGGCAAGTACCAGCAAATCGGTATTTAGAACCAACTCCAAGATTTCCCTTTCTCTTTTATTCTCCTCAGTTGTTTGCAAATAATGATATGGAATATTATCCCTTTCAAGAAACCGCATCACATGAGTGTTTGGACCCCTATGATGATTACTGCCAATACAATTGATGAACACCAGAATCTGTATTTAGAATAAGGATTACTTGTGTGAAAAGAAACGATGGTTTATCTATTACCTTATCACGCAAGTAATATCGACCGGTAGTCTTCCTTCTTGCCAACCATAGAGCAAATCTACCAGGCAATGGTCCTAGAGCAAGATAAATATGGTTCAATCATGCATGGCATCAAACAAAATTAGGAGAAAAGAAAACAAGTATACCTGCTTCGAAGCAAGAATGGCGATTTTTAACTTAGGGTCTAGAGCAGGGACCTTGAAAACAGATTTTATAGCACTGAACATCTTTGAAAGCTTGAGGAAATCTTCATCCATTTGGTTTCGAGGCCATTTGACAGGGTCGAAAACGAACTCACTGCAATTTTGCACACAAGAAGACCCAGGTCTAGTTATGGTTGACTCAAAAACCCTTCTGCCACAAAGTACAGTTACCAACACTATTGAACATACAACACCGTTCTTGGACATTCCCAAACAGGCAAGGTGTGATTTAGAAAACAATTTAGATATTGTTGATGATAACAATGTGTTATACGTCGGTTATAGGCAGTTCATTCCTTCTGGTTTGGACTGAAAGTTGCAGCCAGTGTAAGAGGATCGGCCGAGAAAAAGTATAATGAAGAAGATGAACGGTTCAAAAAGTTCGATCCCTTATTCAACGTCAACAGAACAGATTTTCCAGTAACTATTCAACATTCAAATGCTCCAATGATCCGATATTTGATTCTTTCAGAGCATGTTTCATAATGATAAACTAAGCTAGATGAGTTGGGCATGAATTGATGGCCACCCAGACTCAGGCCGTCTCTTGCATTCATCAATGAAAGACAAGTAGCATTAAATTCAAGGATTTGAATATCATTTCGTTACTGGAATAGCGGCCGTCATGCAATGACTACAAATAACACCCGTCATGTTGCAATCACGATAAACACAATACAACCAAAAATATGACTGTAACCGCAATTGAAATCCCTGATTAAATTAGAAAAAGTTAGACCATCGAACTTTGAAATAACCTTACCTTCTGGAATAGAAAACATTCTTTTTGGGAGGGACGAACACATCAGCCCCAAGTATGTTTCCCCCTCTTGAAGCAATACATTCAGATAGCTTTGCAACTATCCCAACTGCATCCTATGACCCACCAAAAGCAAAATTCAATTACAAATAAGTCAACAAAGGAAAACTTGGAATGTGAGAGAGGGGAAGCATACAGGGCAGTGGAAGACGTGGATGCCATAGCCAAGAGAAGGAGAAGAAGAGGGATCTCCGGGTAATTTATAAGAATTGAAGGACCTCTTTGCAAATCCAAGAAAATGGGAGAAGCTTGAAGAGACTCGTCTTGGGAAAGTCATATCCTAGAATCTCACTTCACGCTGCATACCCACCACCAAACTACATATGGAAAGGATACGCCATCGCACTACAACAGATGAATCCTAACCGTTAAACAATCATCAACTCCTCGGCTCTACCTACTATATTTTGCTTTAAATTACTTTACTCAATTTATAAATTTATTATAACTATTTTATTTTAAATTAAGAATTGCAACCTGTCATCTATATGTTTCTAATCAAAATTACGCTATATTGTATATCGCATAGTATTATTTATATCATTAAATTTTCAATTTTTTTATTATAATATATAATTTTCATTTTAATTTTAATTGTATCACTGAATCATTATCTATTTGATGAAAAGTTAAAAATAAATTTTGACAATATATTTTTTTTCATCGTGGGAAAGTGGAATGATCTCCATCTTCTTACCATTCAAGTTCAATTGGTGTCCGGGAATGAAAACTTGGCCTTACCCTCCGCTCACCCGAAATATATACATATATATATAATATCTTCTCAAAATTTAACATAGATGATGTCTTGACCTGGTCTTCATCCCATTCTGATGTTTTGAGTTCAAATATATCATCATTTAATTGATTATAATTAACAAAATAGAATATTATTTTTCTATTTTTTATGACATGGGAACTTGCTACATCATCAATTTAGTTTATGTGGATATATCATATCAGTATCTTTATCCACATAGAATTACTTAGTCGAGATGTGTTGATCATTAATTGATTAACAATTTTCATTTATAGATGAGAACTTTTGTCTCAAAATAAAATATTAGGTATTGAATCGGGTTAAAGTGACTATATTATCAACCATTAGGGGTGTTTATTGTCATTATCTCGATTGATAATACACATAACCCAGGGACCTTGTACAGAAGTTGACTCGTAAACTATGCAATTAATCGCAGATGACCACAACCCTTACTTTTGTGGTCCCTAGTTTTAGCTCATCATCAAAAGCGGATCGGAGCGGACCTGACCAATCCAATCACACAACTGAGGATCCAGTTTTTCTAGACGAAACCGGAAATCACATAGCTCGGAATCTCTGTTTGTATTTGTAAGTGCTTTCCAGATCTCAAATTTCCACAGCTAAGATCTTTCTTTGTTGTTTCGAGTTGTAAATTTGTATTGATATGGCTAATATTGGGTTATGATTGTGTGTGGTATAGTACAGAAAAAGAATGATAGAGGTGGAACCACCGAGCCCGTTAAGATATATGCTCGGAGCAGTGATCATAATGATCGGAGTCGTATTGCCCGTCGGATACACGATGCTCCGTAACAAACGCGACCCTTCCTCTTCCTCGTACTCCAAAGGTGAGCCTTTACTGCTCAATTTCCATTTCATTCGAAGATAAATAGTTTCTTCTTTTCAATTTACAATAGCATGTTGCAAATTAGATATACATTTATTCGGATCTTGAAGGCAGTTTAAAAGATTAAGCAACTTGATTTAAATGGAATTTATACATATTTTCAATTCATGAACATTTTATCGATATACTTGTGTTTGGGCATTTCAGGAACAAAGTTTTGATATAGAGATTAAGGTAGAATACGAGGAACATTGGAAGGCCCCGCAGACACAAAACTGTAAATGGATTAATAAACCTCACTTCTTTTTTATTATGTTAGTTGTTTAGATGTTAATCCTTCAAGTTGATGAAGATATGTGTTGGTTTATTTAGATATTCATGAGCTTTGATTAGGTTTTCAATTTTAGGTTGAATCGAAAATGTTATACTGTACAACTTAAAAAGCTATGCTCTTGATAACATCTTCGATTGTAAACCGATTTCTGTTGTTTTTTAATCTTACTTTATCAAGTTGTATTTTATACTCTCCATGTTTACATTCTTCCATGTGCCCCTAAGAACATCGATCTTTTTGTGATGTTATGAAGATAATGGCATCATGATTTTGTTCGTTTCATGATGGAAATGGCTCCACTTTGGTTCATATACATGTGCTTTGGTTGAAATGGTGGTTGGATATTGTTAGGCTCTTGTATGACTAGGGTTGGATTTTACTGCTTAGTTGATCAACCAAACCATAACATATGTCTTGATGTGGAACTCGGTTCTCATAACATGCATTGATAAAACATTGTTGGTTTTGGCAACTTATGTGAAAACGTGTTTTACATGGCTAAGTAAAATTCGATTCGGCTTTAAAAATCAACATTTTTACTCGATTCAAATTGATTTCAGGTTGTAATTTCATAAACTCGACTCGAAAAAATTTCAAGTTCAAGTCGAGTTATAAATTACAACTTGAATAACTCAATTTTTTTAATAATTAGTGGATTGATTTTCAAGTTCGAGTTATACATATATCATGTATAAAAAGATATGAAGATGAATATATATAATCATATATAAAACCATTTAAATTGAAATTAAATAATATTATAATATTTATAGGTCCCCTGCTTTGTTTTGACTTTTGAATTGATTTTGTAGATTCGTAGCGGTAGATTGTAGCATACAAATATCACGGGATGGTTGGCAACACATTGCTTACTTGAGCATTTATAATCAGCATATATAACACGCAAAAACATAGTATCCGTCATACTCTGTAAAATTCCCACTGTTTCAATTTGTGAGCTCAGCTCATTATTCCTCGAACTACCTGTGTAAGTGTATAAATGAACAAAGCGTTTAATGAATCGTTCATGAACCATTTATATAATATTTTTTTGTGTTTGTTTATTAAGTTAAATAAATAAGTATGAATAAAATTTTATGCTCATTTAATAAACGAAAGACTACAAATAATATTGTGCTCAATTCATTTATATTCACAAATAATCTCATTATTGACTCATTTATAATTGTTTATCGACTCGTTTATAAGTTCGTTCCCTCATTTCTTTTATTTTTTTATTTTTTAAATATCGGCGAAAATATAGACTAAATTGAACATAAGATAAATTTAAGAGTTTAAATTGTGATATTTAAGAAAATTAAGGACTAAGGGCGTAATTCCACCATTTTCGTTTAGCTTGCAAATTAAAGGATAAAATGAGTGTTGATTGTCTGACATTAAATGTAAATTAAACACATTAAATTAAATGAACATGTTCACAAATGTTAAACGAACAATCGACCATATTCGTAAACACTTAATAAACGAACACAAATACCTTTAAAAATAAATAAATAGCGATATTAAAAATTTAAACGAACGCGAACCGAACATGAACACTTTCATAAAATAAACAACCAAACACAAACACAATTTTATTCGCTAAAACTTAATTCATTTACACCCCTAACTACCACAAATAAAAAACAATAGCCTTTTGTTTTACATTATTTGGAACCAGGTGCATCCCCTAGGTTAGCAACTAATGGACTAGTGACTCTCATTATGCCATACTCCCAGAGCTTCTCCAACACGAATTTTGTCTCCAGGCCTAATAGAAAACCGAAACTCTGTAGCATCGCTGTTCTTTGATGTTGGGGCCTGGAAGACAACCACAACCGTCGATCCCATATTGAAAGCAGCAACCTGAAAGGAGGTGCAATGGAGCATGCAAATCATATCTTAATTAAAGGTATGTGGATACTCAACAGGGTATTCAAATTTAATTCATAATCATTTAGCTACTTCCCAAAACGAATCAAATTTTACGGAATAAGCATCCGAAGATCAAAATACAATTCGAACAAAATTTTCTGTACATCTAACCTCATCTCCTTTCTTTAGCACTACACCAACTCCTTCCGGTTCATATAATCGTTCTTCTGGAGGTTCTGATGATAATAACTTTTTTCTTGGCCTGTTTGTCCGAAGTTCTGGTTCTATGAAAAGCTGCAAGTACAAATTATGGAATCAAAACACAGATTCCAATTGAAGAACATTTACTTGTCTATGCATGCAAATGTTTGTCCAAATATGATATCCAAGATTTTTAACGTTCAGGGTGAAAGGGGCATTGGCACCTCACCTCAATTGACCCAATATTTGTTGCACCAATTGCTGCAATTGCAATAAAACCTTGTTGCCATTCACCTTCAAGGACAACCTGATGACACAATTTAGTGAAATTTACTCAACATGTATCCAAGTAACCAAAACATTAGCACTGCACTTTAATGTAAGCTCTAAAATCTGCAAATATTTTTATTCTCCAGGGAATTGAAGCCCAAAACAATGCTTTCTAGGTAATTCAAAGGCCACAGTTAGAATGTTGAGCATAAACATTTACCTACCATCTTGCATTACGATCAACCCTATATAACTCCAAAGTCGAAACACTTTAGGTTTTTATGGTAGGATGTGCCTGACTTAAACTATTCTCAAGTTGCAACAATGTTCTAAATAAACCATTTTATCTTCAACTTTCAGCTTATAATCTTTATCATCAGCTTCTTTATCCTTTCCCAAGTTAGACTATCTTTTAGTTCAACCAATTGCAGACATCAAGACCATAGAAGTCTAGAAGAAAATTTGTGAATTTATGGGAGGGGATTTTAAGAGGTAGCACATCAGATTTACCCTTTCATTCTCGACATAAAGATTCCTGATTGTCCTTGTAGCACGTTCATTCACAGGAAACAAGTGGCCTGTGAAAATTGCAGCGGAACAAATAATATCATTGATATTACCACTGTACAAAGAGAGCCTTTAGTATATTAAGCAACTATGCAATCAAGTTACCTGAAAAATGCCGTCGAACAAGAACATTCCAATCAGCCGGTGAATGTATGCGATGATAATCTCCAGGCTTCAAGTATATTACACAGTAATAGAGGCCTTTCAGTGGGCTGCAAAAAGAGATTTTATGTATGAACATACTTGAACTCATTTACAGCAGTTCTATCATGTAAAGAATTTCAAAGAAACAAATATCTTGGACAGTCCAACAATCTAGAGACACATGAATAATAAACACAACTGCTTAACAAATTCGAAGGCAGATCTAAGGAAAAAACCGAAGACACAACTGACTACGATTATTCCATCAACAACTTATGCTTAATTATTTAAATGAAAAATGGACTAAACAAAACCACATCATTGGTATAAACAAATAATTAGCCAACTATCACACAAACCAAACAGGCAGATATAAGTACAAGATTACCATTCAGAAACTGTTTCCCGGACTTTAGGAGAAGCCAATGAAACCCGCCACCATGACTTCTTACTCTTTTCTATCCGAGTGCTTTCCTGCTCAGTATTACTACTCTCATCTTCGGTATTTTTCTCCGCAACCAGCGAGAGCAAAATGCTAGCACCTAGAAGAGATGACACAGAATAAGAAAATCCTTTGACTTGCTCAATCATGGCCCCTGCACCGTTCAACTTCCCAAATCTGAGAACAGTGCCATCCACAGGACTAACCTTTATACAACAGAACATACTGTTAGCCACACTTCAGAGTGAAATAAAAGAAAAAAATTAACACGTCCAAGTAGCTCGTTACCAGTTACCAGACTATAGGGATTAGGATCAATAGGCCTGCAACCTTCTTTTAATGTGCGAATAAAGAAATCCCTTAAAGATGCATATTCTTCAAGAGGGAGAGCTGCTTCCTCTAGGTCTAGAATGCAAACCACAATACCGTGTCATAATTTGTTCTTCATTTTGAGTTAACTGTACATTTATCTCATCAATTGATTAAATTGATCTAAAGTACAACTAGAGAACAACAGAGAATGAGAAGGGAAAAGATATCTGAGGTAAACATACTTGAGTGGAAAGCACGAGCCCATGCCCTATAAACATGTGGACGCAGCCAAACTGGAATGTCCTAAAAAGTGATCTTAAATCATGTAAAAGGATATAAAAACGGCACAACAAAATAAAAAGCAAGAAGAGAAGCATGGGAAGCTTCCAAATCCCATTAAGATAGGAAAAAGACTTCTTCAAAGAGCCAATGATCTTATCTTCTAAACTAAGAAAATTACTCACCACATTCATTAAAGAGCCCCAAACTCTAGAAATAGATCGCAAAGGTAGCATCCTTAGAAATGTAGCCTAAAAAATCGAAAGGTATATCAAATCATAGCATAGATATATAAACAACAGAAAGAGCAAACCCGTGAAATTCAAATTCGAAAAATTAATTAAAAAGAACAACCTTTACATCCTCTCGGAACTCAAATTCAATCCCTTTCTCTCGTGCTTCTTCGAGCTGTTACCAAAAAACATATATCAATAAATATCCAGAAACTAGTGCTGACATATAAGTTTTAAGAACAAGCAATGCACAAGAAGAAAAAAGTATTGGTTTGACAAACAGATTAGATAATGAATCAGATGAAACAAATAGAAGTAGCCATTATATAATAATAAACCAATTTATACCTTCTTGTCATCGTAAAGCCGTCGAGCATGAAGAGCGCCAAGCATGAGTATAGTGGCTACTGTGGCACCCGACATCACAAAAGCTTTACCTATAGAAATCAGAGCAGCAAGCTTCATATGCTTCTCCAAGAAGAAAAAAACAGGACAAATTTGTGGACCATACTGAATTCGCCGTATTATCATCTACTTTAGCATTAATTACAAAACATATTTGTTTATTATCAAGAATAACAATTTTTATTCTTTATTTCCTCACAAATTTTCTCGGAATCCAAACAAGAAATTAAAATTCTGTTTTTTTTAAATAACAGAGTGATTTAACCTTGAGAATTGGTATTGCCGCCACCGAGAGAGCCGCGGGCTTGCGACGTCGTACGGAACTGCTTGACGTACCAAGAGAAGAGTCGACGGCGGTTGTGAACATTGGCGAGTAAAAAAGGAGGGAATACGGGGATATTTCGGGGAAACCGAAAATTCATAGTGTTAGTTGGCGTTCTACGGTTCCGGTGCCAGAGATGCTTGCTTTTCTGTCGTTACCGATAGGGTTACTCTGGTGTGAGTTTCAGGGATTATATTAAGTAGCTATGAAGAGCTCTAAAACGGTGTTTGTTTGACGCCGTTTTGGCAATTTCCTATGGGATTGAGCCAACGCATCAGTGAAATAATTTCGTTTGCTTAATTTTGCTAGACGAGCTCAAACCATCAATTAATTATTAGATTTTTAGTTCAATCAGCTTGATTAAATAATTCTATCATCTAAGAAATATTAAATATAATAAATTTATAATAATTCAAAAATTAAAAAAAAGCATGAATCAAGCGACTTTAGTAATTAATAAATTATTATTATTTTTGAAGGTTCTAGGTTCAAATGCAAGGGTATGAGCTTTTAATATCAAATGATTGAGAGTCTTTGAACAAATATTATCTTATATTCATTTTATATATATCAATAAAAAAACTCAATTAAGAAATAAAGAATACTTTGAAATCGTAACAAAAGAAATTATATTTTTTTTTTGAAACTAGGGTATCTATAGCTAGTGATAATGATTAATCTTTATTATGAAGGTTTAAAGAGGTCAACGTTCGTCATGAAATATCCTTCGTCCATGTGGATGAAGACAATATATTTTAAAATTTTATTTGTGTTTATCTTATTTAAAAAAATATGTTTTTAGTATATATGTGTCTACTATAAAAAAATATTTATGAATTTATCACTAGATGAACTATTTTATATGATAGAGGTTCCTCCTGTCATCATAAGTTAGAACTGTATAATATTATAAGAGGTTCTAACCCATACCTTTCACCAACTGTTTATTATTAGGGATCAATCTATGATTCCTCGAGAAGGTCTTTCTCGCTATTGTCTAAGAAGCTTGAAATTGTGCAAGCAAGCAAGCTTCGCAACTTGTTTTAGAGACTCTGAATTTGTTGATTTTTCGAACCATAAGAATATAGATTTGATGCAACAGTTGAGAATAATATTGGCCTACATGTTGGCTAGACTGATCATATGCATCATAGTAAGTCTTGCGGGATCCAAATACGACGAAAAATAAGTGTTTTGTTGTTGTTGATAAGGTAAATTAGATGAGTTGAGAGGGTTTTGAGAAGAAGTAGAGATATTGGCTTGATTGTTTTGGTTTCTGGGTCCATTCTAGACTAATTTCGTTTAGATCATAAGTTGTCCACACTCATCCCATCAATTATCGATGGAAACAAATTTGTATCGTCGGTTGTTAGCAGTTCATTCTTTTTGGTTTGGACGTAGAGTCGTGGCCGATGAGGTAACGATCGTTGGCCAATGTTCTTTGTGAGAGATACGAAAGCATAAGGAAAAAAAATGAGTGTGAAGAAGGAGAATAAAGTCTAGTGGATCCCCTCTTTCAGCGTTTCCTCGGGTTATAAAATACCTAGACTATAGGACGACTGGTGTAAGACCTATAATGACAATGATTATTTGTAGGCTGATTAAAACTGTTGGAGCAGATTTAACTCTCATAAATTATATGTGATAGTCAAAGGTCTAATTATGGATTTATAATCATCCGGAAAATATGAGACTTTGGATGAATATGGGCGAAGATAGTATTCTCGAAGGATGTTTTCACAGATATAACAATACTTTTGGGTAAATTTTCATCTTTGTGTAAATATATAATAAAATGAATTTTTTAGGTGTGAAGAAGACTGGTTTCATACTGCCTCAAGGTTTTCTTTTTGCTTGAAAAAAATCTCTAAGGCTTGCACTGCCATGGTCAAAAACCTGAAAGGACTTGTACAGTCGTACTCTAGGCGATTCATCTAGGATGAGAAGAAAGAACTGCAAATGAGCATCTTCCGAGCATGACACCTTTGTGAAGTTTGCTGACATGAATAAGGAAGAAAGGAATCTTCATTGTAAAGTTCTAAGAATGGAATTAGGCTTGGGAACATCATGTTACTTTTGAGTTGGTTAAATGTCCTGTTGGAACTTGGATGGTTCATTATATATAGTTTTCTTTTACAATATATAGTTAAGGGAGAAGAAATAAAACAAGCCATTCGTCTTTAATTTTCTCTTAAAAACTTAATTTAATTATACAATTTACAGTTCAAGATAAAAATTTACACTTCAAGTATTTTATACAATAGACTATATACTGAAAAAAAAATAAAGATGAGAATTTAAAGTAATTTAATAATTTATACAAATGTATATAAATTGAATCGTTATCATACGAATATATTGAGATATAGAGTTATATTTTCGGTGTCTTTATTTTCAAAGGAATATAATGACATATTTATTATTTAAAATTGAATTTTAAAAGGAAATTCATAAATAAAACTGCCAAAAACACAACGTGTTGATATTGTTGTCACACAACTGGGGGTCGGGATACCAAAAAAGGAAATTCAAAATTTGAGTGATAATTTTTTTTTTAAAGTTTGATGACCAAAATAGAAACACAATAAAAGTTGAGTAGTTAAATGCGCAGTTTACTCATATTTCTTTTATGGCGTTTCATATTGTGACACCAAAATGAGTAAATAAATAGTATACATATTATTTAAACGGCAAATTTACTAAATAAACAATGTAGGCATAATTAACCATATTTACGTATGTTGTGTATTACATTAGTAAAAGCAGTCGTTTTCAGTTTTGCATGAGAGATGCAAAGAGCAGTTGGTTCCATATATCAGGAACTCCAGGGAGACACCAATGTGTACAATCGTTACCGCGGTGGCCGCCGTAGCCAAAGGCTGAAGGGTGTCCGTCCTTCCTCAGTTGCGACAACCCTGTTATGTCAAGCAAATGAACTGCCTTTGCCACACTTCGCAACGCTCTCTTTAAAACATCTTGTGCTGCCGGTGGACCACTCGGATACGCCGTGCTTAACGTAGGCCATGTTTCCCCCCGGCAAGTCTTTGTCGTTGGATCCCCCCATTCCCTCGAACTAGCTCGACAAGATCAAGATACCAAGTCAATCCCCATGTGTCTTATAATGGTGCTTAATGAGTTAAGCAGCTCGTGAGTTGTTCGAACTTGACTCGGTCAAGGTTCGATTTGGATTAATTCAACTTGAACTCGAGTTCGACTCAAGATCTTAACAAATTGATTTGAGTCGAGCAAGGTCCAACTTGACCCGATAAATTTGCGAGCAATTTATTAAGATTTTTTTTATTATAAATTTTTAGTAGTTATCTAAAAAAATTATTCCATTACAAAAATAGTTTAATCAATAATTACTAATTTAATAGTAGATAAAAAATGATAAATTACCAATTAATAATTATTACTAGTTTATTAGTTTTCTAATAAACAACAAAAATATTAAATTATTAATTACTAATTATTAATTTGCTAGATTTTACGTATAGTTAAAAGAAGTTTAACGAGCAACGAGTCAAGTCGAGCAACAAGATTTTTTAACGAGCATAAGTTGAGTAACGAGCCGAACAACAAATTTTTTAACGAATACGATTCGCTCAACTTATGATTGACTAGATAATAAACACCCCTAGTGTCTTATCCTAAACAAGTTTGATTCAGAATTAAGATATAAATTACTCACTCTGTATGATTGGGGGAGACTCCTTGAAAGAACACCTTTGTTTTAGCAGGATGTACATTGTGTTTCACCCATCCGGCCCATGTCCCCAATGCTTTCCTATAGGCTACCATACGATTCATGTCTTTGCGAGTTATGTTATTGTATTGGATATAATCCCATCTGCAGAACATCAAGGCCAAAAATGTTATCATCTGTACTAAGATGTCATTGTGTGATTAACTCTCATTGTTTGAACAATACGTACGGTTGTTTTGTTCCCGTAAGAAGCCACCAATACCAAGTGTTAAAGATCAACACGTCGTATCCTTTCCAATTTCGTCCGCCCTCGATTGAGTCCAGTTTTAGAACTCGGCCGTCTTTGTCGTTAATAATATCAACCAGAAATGCATTGCGTATGAACATAATCGAAACTCCGTATGCCTGCAAGGATTGTGTCATATCAGCAAACTATGGAAATCACTGAATCCTTTTAGTTAAGCAAAACAAAAAGATTACCGGGAAACTGAACGTGGAGATGGCTTCAACTCTTTGCGAGATGTATGCCTCTCCAGGTACAGCTCTATGAAGGATACATGTGAGTGACTGCCATTGATTTAAGCTCAATGAGTCACCTACAAACATGATCCTCTTCCCTCTAAATTTTCGTAAAAAGTCTTTCCCATTGAACCTGTTCAGTCAACAATCAATTTAATGATGTACATGTAGGATATTGTATAATTATTTATATGAATATGTGTATTTTTTTAAATAGTCTGGAGTAATTATAAGGTAGTATTTGTTTATAATATTTCTTAACAATTGACAATGCGCACACACTTTACAGATTTGCTTGAACTGAAGACCTCTAGGGAAAACAACATTTACATTCACCTTTTGAGGCAACTTGATGGGTTCAAATATGAATAGGTGTATTTATTCATATGATTAGGTGTAATTATTTATAAAGGATTCTAAGTGATGAAGCAATTGTATGTTTTCATAAGATTATTTTCTATATTCTCTTTCTCTCATAGGATTTCTCTCTCTTTTCCTCCTCCCTCCAACATTGTGTGTATATATAGAGATAAGATCCAATTACACAGTGTTAAACTTTTTAGTTTTATATAAATTTAAGATCGTTTGGATGAGTGAAAATAGACGACTGAGATTAACGATAGAAAATGTGAAGATATTCATTAGGGGGAAAAACAAGGAATTAATATTAGTCATCTATTTCCACTCATACAACAATTTTAAACATGGAATTAATCTTTATAATTTATTTCTCTCATTTTCAGCTGCTGCAAAACCTAAGTATGTATGACAAGTAATAGAAAGAAAGGAAGAGAATGAAGACCTTGGCGAGTTGCATGAGGTGGGTTGCCATCTGAAGTTTTGGTAGAGATGGTCAGGTCGACCATTGTTTTGGCAACTGAATTCTTGGTGTATGAAAGGGCAATTACTTGAATTGTAAAGAGGATAAGAAGCATCATACACCCATTTTCCTTTGTAAATATCACATTTGCTTCCAGTTCCATCAACATGCTGACACAATTCAATAACAAACAAGAAGATTGATGCTGCAAATAATGCTAATGGACCCATATAAACAAAGCTGTGTGAATTGGAATTGCTTTATCGTTGATGTTTTTATAGAGGGGTTAAACACGTAGGAAAACAAAATAATTGGAGTTGACGTAAAAAAATATAAAAGAATATTGGGTCTTATCCCTTCCATGGTTTCAGCTGAGCTAAAATGAAGCAAGAAAAAAAAGTAGAAATCAAACTTCAAGCACATGCTTTTACACCGAATATACAATTAAATTATTTCAAGTTGAGATCGTTGAATCAATTAGCGTCAGTCATCAACCCCATGCTTCATGGAAATTTAATGCAAGTGAATTATTTTCTCTATACGAAAGAGTCAGGTTTGATGGGGAATAAAGCTCTCTACATGACAAAAAGCATATACTATGTGATCGTATATTTAATACTAACAATCAATTGATTTAATAGAATGATATATTAGATTATTTAAAAAAGATCAAGGTTTATATCTTGACGATTGTAAAAGGAGTAAATTAGATTGGGATGATGACCTCCATAATGAGTCTATGCAAAACTAGATCTAGATTAGTCAATCGATATACTAGACATAAATAATTAATTAAAAAAATTATATATTTACTTAATCATCTTAAAATTTCAAATGGAATTAAAAATTGAAAATAACATTCAAGGTAGATTTATATTATACTTTTTAAGTAGTTTCAATATCTCTATCGTATTTATTAATAAAAATGTTTCTTTTTCAATATATATTTTACAATTGAGGCTTTTTTACTTTCGAGCAAAAGTTATATAGTTTTAATTTTTCCAATTCGATTTGATTGTAGAAGTCAATAATTTAAATTCATCTAATTTAAATTAAAAATAATATGACATGAACAAGAAATAACCTGAAAAGTAACTTAAAATGATCCAAATAAATATAAATTTAAAAAATTAATAAAGATAATACCTATAACATAAAATTATTAGTTTCTCTTATTTTACAATTATAATTTGGAATGTATAAATTGATCATAAATGTGTTAATGTTTGTTTTTCTTATTTGGTTGTAAAGAGTGTAATACTTATACGTTTCTAATTAAAATTTGTTCTATGATTATAACCAAATTTTAGTAGAGGATTGGTTTAATTTTTTTAAACTGTTGTTGAAAATTCTAAGTATATTATATAACATTAGTGAAACTGAAATTCTTGGTTAATAAAGTAAACTATTTGTTTAAAGTGGAAGAGATCATTATTCACTACATCGATCTCTCCCCGGATATTCCATTTGAATGTCAAGGAACGTTTATTAAATGATTCGTATTACTTAAATATAATTACTTTTTATACATAATTCATTGATATAAGTTTGTTTGACTTGTTTTTAAAGAATACATTGCATTTGAATTTATATATCTAATGAGAATGTTAATTTGGGATTTTAAAAATCTTCCTTCATTTCACATGATTCGTGCTTCACTTGTGGTTTAAGGAACTATTGTGTATCCGCTTAAAACACAAGTTTTTTTTATTTATTAGTATGGTATTATAATGTAGTATTTTATTAAAGACTTGACCATTTAATAATCAACATTCATATGTCTCTACATACATGGAACATGAATTCTTTACCCCTTTATATGCTCCACCAATAATATAATGCCACGTGTATTAATGAATTTTATTCAAACTAACAGCAACTCACCATGATATTATATTGTTGGTGGGGACATAGAATTCTTGTTCACATACGTGATGCTCAAGCTCGGGACCTTAAAAGATAATAGCAATCCCTTAATCACTAAAGTCGCTTGGTTCATGTCTTAAAATATAAGTTTGATCTTTTATTCTTGTAAAAATATTCATCAATGGCAAAAAATGAAGAACGGCCGGTGGTCGGTATGTGTGAAGAAGTGATGAGATGCGGCGGCTGTGTTTAGGATTTAACTTGCAAAGCAGGGAATGAAAATAGAAGATGAATTTATTATTAGTGAAAATGGTTACAATGCTTGGGTAAAAACCCTCATCTCAGTCCAACTACCATCAGATACTAACAAATTTCCAACTAATTATGGTTACTTCTAACTACATTCTAACATCCACCCTACTTTTTCCATCTGAACTTTCTTGAGAAAAAAATCTGGAAAAATAATTCACTTCTTTCTTCTTCATCATCTACACAGCAACATTTATTCGCTTATCATTTTCTTGCTTCTACTTCTTCTTTCACATAGCACTTATTGAAAACACTGCATCTAAACTGACATTCTCTTCACTTAATTGAATACTGCAGTAAGCTGGTTTGCAGAATGCAGACTTAATCTTTCTTCTTCAACACATTGTTCATTCAGAAATCCTTCAAAATTTCTCTTCCTTCATCAGATATGTTCTTCTTCTCAGTTATTAGGACTTTCTTTTTGGTGGAAGCAAGGCGGTTAAGCTTCGAGCTCCCGGGTATAATCTGAAGCCTCTCTTGGGCAAAAAGACACTCTCAATAAATTTTCTATCATGGACACTTGGTTGTTAAGCGTCAAGTTCCAGTTCACTTTGTGAGAAAAACAAACAGTCGACGAAGAAAACACAATAATCATCTTGTTGTACAAATTGAACTTTTACAATAACCAGCTCATACTAGAAATTCAGCAGGCATATAACGCACGACAGCGATACACATATATCCAAATGATGACGAACAATAGCAGGGTGAATCAAACCAGTAGCTGAACATCCCAGGTTCCAGAATACTTGAACAAACAAGTCAATGGACAGCAAAATTTCTAATCTCCTCACCAGCAAAGTAAATGAAGAACAATCTATTAACATCACCATCTACTAATTGTAGACAGAACTAACAGCTTAAATCCAAACCAACTCTAAAAATTCTTACTTAATACAACTCTAAACGCAGAAAATGAATCATCAAAGCAGATTATCAATCACCAATCTTGTTTTCCAAGTTCCAAACCAAGATGCTGCTGAGAAATAGAAGTCTAAGGTGCTGCTCAAAAAGATGAACAAAAAGAACCGCTGTTAACTCCAACAAAGCAGGAAATCATACCAGAAGAAGAAATCACACTTGACCTCACTGATGCACAAGATAACAATATTCACAAGCCAAATTGCATAATTTTGTGCAAATACGATGGAAATTTCATCATTTGACAATGAACATCCAATCACATTTGCAATCGTTGGTGCTCAAACCCATGGCCTCTAGGAACAACAACGATTCCTTTAACCACTGAGTAAGTTGGTTCGTGCTATTAGACTAGACTTAACTAAATAAATTGAGTGACCTTAATTGAAGTTCGAGTTAAACAACTAAATTAGTGTATGAAAACAGAACAAGAAGGTTTTGAGAGTAAAGATACTCTCAATTGTATCACTCAATTGAGTGACGGATAAAAATGTCATTCTTTTTAGATGATTCGAGTTCGAGCAGTTGTGTTCGTAGGATGTATATGTTATTAATAAGTTAAGAAAATCCTAAACCAATACTACATATAATAAACCCAAACTTATTTTTTAAAAAACTTTTGCTTAGGAATATATCCCAACTTTGTGTACTTGAGCTGCAGAAACCAAAACTGTTGAAGTCAAATTTTCATTTTGAACCCTGAATGTACCACAAGGAGTAGGCCACGGTCCAAAGCTAGAAAGAGAGATTTTAGTTATTTAGAGTTTAAAAAGGATCCGTCAACAAGGAAAACTCAATAAGTTATTGAATCTAGTTCACTTGTAATGCATTCGGCTCAATTGGACCGGCTGTTTCAAAGCTTAAAGACCTAACACCCACATTATAAATAAGTGGACCAACTAGAGTTCCCATAAACCGTATCCATCATTTAGGAGCAAAATTCAAAAAGTTATATCACATTTTCTAATGTAATTGTTCAAATTTAGATGAAATATATTTTCTTTTATCATTACGCCCACTCAGTGAATTCACAGTTAAAATTTATAATAATTCGAAACAAATCAATTTAAACCAAAACAACTTGAACTCAAAATAATTCAAACTTGTAACAACTCAACTCAAAAACCCGAATAATCTAAACATAAAATAATCCAAAAAAAAAACTCAAATTCTTCTGAACCAAGCGCATCCTATACAAAACCAGCATGATTCACCCAATTGTCTTGTCTACTTCTCAACCCTGTTATGAGTACATGAAACTCGAAATAGTATACTAGTATCGAGCACATATCTTATTATAATTACAAGCTAAATTATAGAATTAAACAAGATTGTAGAAGATGCTGTCATGTAAACTGTAGAAATGTAGCTTCACATTCTTTGCTTCAACTTTGAAAGAATATATGCTTTGCTTAGACTTGAAGACAAGTTGTGGTAATTACAATGGCCAGGAAAGAAGAACAAAACTAAAGGTTGGTATTTAATGCCGATTGACGTATTCTTTTCCATTATGATGAATTTGTCCAATAGAATTGCTGCTCCAAAATTTCATATGAATGGCTGGTTAGATGAAGTAACCTATCTTTTCAAATTCAACATATGTCCTTTACTCATAATTGGGTCAAATGCATTGAGAAAAAAGAAGACTATTTTTCTTTTCGTTTACGACAAGTTGAAGAACACACGCACTTCTCCAATGCAGTCGATGGTTAATTTATACATAAACAGTAAGATTATGTCTGTATATAATGAGCAGATCGAAAAGAGAGTAAACACGAATACAAATTCAACTCTATAGGGCTTTAACTGATGTCTTCAACTTTACCTTGTAGAGTTTCTCTTGATTTGGCCACTTGATCTCTTGATGGAATCAATCCTTTGAAGCCTGATTTGCTCTCTTACTTTGGCAATAAACTCATCTGCTTTCTTATCAACATCAGATCCTCCATCTGCTCCATTGCTGTGACTAGGTTCTTCCTCATTGTTTGGATATTTGTTGTTGGTGCTTGGTCTAACTTCTTCATATTCCTCACTCTCTGAATCATCATCTTCATCACTAGTTTCAACAAACCCTTGTTTCTGATCTCCTTGTGGGAATTCCATGAAACTAGGCTTTGGTTTCGGCTTAAAGCTTCCATTCATTTCATTTGGTTTGCTAGCAAACTTCCGTGGGAAAGAAACCCTGTCGTCTGTAAAACTTGAAGCCCGTTTCAAAGGTGACGATTTGCGAACCAACGGTGGCGGTGGGGGTGGGGGAGGGGGAGGATGAGACCTGTAAATGGACTTTTTCCTCAATAAATCCTCACTAGTTTTTGCTTGTATTTCAGTTAACGAAGAAGTAGAGGAAGGAGATAATTTCTTTGGAGAAGAAGAAAAAGATTTTGAACTTGACAAACGAGTCGTTTGGGGCCTAAACGACTCAATATCTTCCTTCACTTCCATTCTTACGGACCTCGACCGCCATGGAATCGGTGAAGGAAGAACAACGTTACTGTCATTCATCTTCTCCACCAGAGTTTCCCCATTTTCCATTATGGAACTCAGACTAGAATTAGACCTACGTAAAGACCCAGACTTGGCAATATTTTCCCCACTTGTCTCAACATTATTCCCCTCCAAAACACGCGATTTCAAGCTCCTAACAGGCAAAAGCAAAGGCTTTTCTTCACCTTGTTTTTTGGCCACGAGAACAGGAGGTTCGATCCTATAGTATTGGCTACTCCATGTCTGGACCTTACCGTCATCAGACCCACATATGTTTTCGGCTTCATCATCGAAAACTGATGAAACGTGGAGGAATCTAGACATCAAAGACTGTAAATTATCTAACTTTGGATTGTTGATTTCCTTCTCCGTTCCATCGTTCCGTCGGCTAAAAAGACCGTAAGAGACTGCTATGCCGACGAATAGAAGGCGGAGAAGCTCCCAGCTACGATTGAGCAGTGATTGGTTGATGAATTCGGGTGCTTGTGAGGGGAAAACTGGGATTATGACCAAGAAAACTATGACCACAAGAACTTTTTTGGAAAGGAAATTGGTGTAGGACTTACTCGGGTTTGCTGGGTTTTGTTCCTTTACTAGTTGCCGCTGTTTGGAGCAGGTATTTGTATCTGCCATCGAAGAAGATAGGGAAAAATGAAAATCAGAGGAGGGTTTTGGCTCTGGTTAGATTGTGCTTTTTTAATGGAAATGAAAGGAGCCTTGGTGATTAAGGAAAAGTGGAGAATAAGGAAAAGATTTTATGGGAGTAGTGAATGCATATTTGAAGCTCATCGCCCTCTTTTTTAAATTTCTTATTCCTTCTCTCTTCTTTCTTCAAATGACATGTATAGCCTCGTCATCCCTTTTCTTTAATTTTGTTATCCAATTCATTTTAAAAATCAAATTATTTTATATTCAATTTAAATTATTTGAATCTGTTAGGTATGACTCAAATATACCGAGAAAGTCTCGTAGTGGGGGTTACGATTATGTGGGTTGGGGTTGCGGGGGCTGCGGCCCCGCGGTACGGTAAATGATTATTTTTGTAAATATGAACCATAGTTTATTTATTATAAAATGAGATGTAACCTAAACATATGAGACATTGAATTGAATACAAATTCTAGCGCCGCATAAGGCACCGAGGACGTAAGCACATTGCTGAATCTCGTTAAAATTCTTGTGTACTTTTCGTTTTCTTTACCCGATTATTCAATAATTGGTATCAGATGTCAGTAGCCAAATTCGATGGTCATGGTAACTTCGGATTATGGCAAACAAGAGTGAATGATCTGTTGGCGCAGCAAGGGATCCTGAAGGCTTTGCGACCTACAAAGCCAGCGTCGATGGAGGAGGAAGATTGGGAAGAATTGCAGCAGCGAGCGACAAGAACCATACAATTATGTTTGGCGGACGAGGTCATTTATCACGTCATGATTCTGTCGTCTCCAGATGAAATTTGAAAGAAGTTGGAAGGTCAGTTTATGTCCAAATCCTTAACGACTAAACTGTATCTAAAGCAGCGGCTGTATGGGCTGAAGAAGTAGGATGATCATGATTTGGCGCAATACGTGAATGTCTTCAATCAAATCGTTTATGATTTAGCTTGTAACACCCTAGACCCGACCTATGCGTTTCGACTAAGTCTAATGGATCACATTCATGATTCTTAAAGACATTTTCTAAAAAACGTTGTTTAATCAATGAAAAATCATATTATAAATGACATTTATGAAATTATAATAGATTTTACTATAAAAACCCAATTCATAAATATAACATTAAGAAGAAATAAATTAATTTAAAACATGTCTTAAAAAAATCCCAATTACGATAAACCAAACATAAATAGCAAAAGAGTAACAATATAAAATCCAATACTTTAAAATAAGACCCATGTTATCAAAATAAAGTCAACTTGAAAGATAAAATATTACAATAAGATGTACTTTAAGAGATATGTTGATCCTCCAAGTGCTTGATCCGAGTTTCCAACCAACAGTATCTGAAAGGGGGAAAACATTTTGAAAAGTGAGCTAGGCTCAGCGTGTCCCATTATTTCAGTAAAAACATCATATGAAAAACCATCAATTATAATCCTGTCAAGTATCATGAAAATCCTGTTAAAGTATAAAATATTAAGTCATATAATATACCATCCTCCCATACACTATATGCAGTTATCAGAACTGTGTCCATGGGGCAACCTTATACCCATTAGTATAAGGGGCCAACCTAAGGGAACATCTTGGGGGCCGAAAGCCTACCTAAATGTTGTCTTAAGTCCGTAAGGATTTACCAGCTTGATCAGAGCTGTACCTCCATACTCCAGCCTACCTAGATAATATCCCCATAATATATTTCAAATAGTAAGTAAAGATTTCCATGATCCCTATCCGGTAAATTAATACCGTCCATTGAAACCAAATATTCAAATATCATATATAAAGTTTCATCATAGTTCATGAACCATCATCCATTGAATCATAAAATTTTAGTGAAATATGTATATATATATATATATATATATATATTTATCAAATCAGTTAAAACCATCAAATAGTACATAGGGAACACACCTCGATAATAGGATTAAATTGTAGATCTACTGAGTACTGGCCTCGCCACGCTCTACTACAGTTTTCGAACGAGTAAATACTGGCACACGCGGTTTAACTAATCTAGAGAAGCTGGGTTGAGCTGTCGAGCGATCAGGAAAGTCTCTTATACCTTCAAACAATAATCATTTATCAGTTCCAAGTCTTACTTAATCATTCAAAGCTAAAACTCTTAAGTGTATATGCATTTTCCAGGTTTGACTATTAATTTGGAGGCTTTCGAGTATGAATTTGACCAAACGGATTGCGGAATCAAAATCAAGACGTCGAAAAACATAAAATATGACTTTTCAAAAATTCAAATTCTTGGTCAAAGTCAAATTCAACGGGTTTGACTGACGATTTGAAGACCTTCGGGTTCGAATTTGGCAAAACAGACTTCGAAAACGGATTCGGGACGTCGAAAACTATCAAAATAGGTATATATGGATAAAGTCAATGGTCTTTTACTAGCCGGTCAAAGTCGGTCAAAGTTCTAGTCAAAGGTGCTCACAATAAACAGTCAACTTTTACAAAAATAACACCATAACAGAAATTAATTACGAAACTAACACCCTTTTAAAAATATTTACGAAAATAACTCCTTTTTAAAAATATTTACGAAAATAGCGTCATTTTAAAAATATTTACGAAAAATAGCACCCGGGTCAAGTCGGGTCTGGTCAACGGGTTGAGTCAAGTCGGTTCAGACCGGTCAAGCCGGTCAAACAATGCATAATCACCATTCTGAAACTCCCCCATGTGCAAGGGCGACGCGTGTAGCCTCCTCCGGTGTTCAAAAATTCCTGAAAAAAAATCCAAAATTTATTTTAAGTAATTTGAGTCACTTACCAAGCTTGGTTCAAATTTTTGAGCGGTGGAGAGCTCGATTTCAACTCGGTCGGAACTTCGATCGTTTCACCTCCCTCACGCATCGCCGCCTACGGAGACAAGGAGGACACCGTCAGACTCGGAATGACACAAGGAACAAGATGGTGCGGGAGGTATCGAAAATGGATTAACGATCAGAGATGAATTTAAGATTTTCTTGGTGGTGGTGCTAAAAACAACGTCGAAACTTTGACTCGAAGTTTATGACGTTTGGCAGCGTTTCACCATAATTGGTTTACTGGGTTTTGTTCACGGGTCGAAGAGGAACACGTTGGTGGTTTTAATTTGACGATCGGAGGTCGGACGGCGTCGGAATCGAGCTTGAAAGTAGAGGTACGGGAGAGGGAAGTTTAAGCAAATTAACATTTGTGTTTTCTGATTTACAATCAAAAAAACGTTTATAACCAAATCTGCCGACACTTCTTAGAGGAATTCAGGACTTGGTCCCTGAATTTCCTTCAACTTCTAAAATAGTCTAAGTGTTTTGAAAACTTTTAATTTAGTCACCAAATTACACCAATATAAATATTATTTTTTTCTCATTTTTTCAGGTTGTTACATGGCTAAACTTAATGTGAAAATTAAGGATGAAGACAAAGCGATGATTCTGTTGTATTCGTTGTCTCCCTATTACGAACATATGGTGACTACTCTTACATATGAGAAAGAGACTATCAAAGTTGAGGAGATTACTATTGCCTTGTTGGCTCACAATCAGCGAAAGCAGAATGTAAGGGAAAGCTCTCAAGATGATAACTTATATGTCAAGCGTAATCGGGACCGTGAACGGAAGCCAGAGAAGGCAGGGTCTGGGAAGCGGAATTTCAGATCCAAATCTAGGGATAAGAAGACAATTCACTGTTACAAGTGAAATGAGACATGATATAGAACCGAGACTGTCCAAAGTTGAAAAAACATATTGATGAGAAGCGTGATGACTCATCTAAGTCTGTGAATATGGTTAAGGATGACAATTCTAATTGCAGTGAGAGTGATATGCTCTCTATTTCAATAACTCAATTGACGGATGCTTGGATTCTTGATTCTGGATGTTCTTATCACATCACGCCAAATAGGGAATGGTTTTCAACATACAGGTCGGTTGATTCTGGTTCTGTTTATTTGGGTGATGATCGATGTTGCAATATTGTTGGTATTGGTGATGTCAGAATTAAGATGTATGATGGTTATGTTCGGACATTATGTGGAGTTCGAAATATCCCAGATTTGAAGAAGAATTTGAATTCTTTGGGCACTTTGTACTTGAATGGTTTTATCCATAAGGCTGGTGACGATAGGGAAACCATTCGGATTGTTAAAGGAGCTTTGACTATGATGAAAGGAAAGATGATTGCAGGGAATATTTACAGATTGTTAGAGAGTACCGTTGTAGGTGAAGTTCATTGTGTTGAGTCTTGTGATGATACTACCAAATAGTGGCATATGTGTCTTGCTCATCTTAGTGAACGTGGTATGGCTGAATTACATAAAAGAAATCTGTTGCATTGTATTAAAAGTTGTAAGCTCAATTTTTGCAAGTATTGTGTTCTTGGTAAACAAACTAAAGTTCGTTTCAAGATAGGGAAGCACACAACTGAAGGGATTCTTGATTATGTCCATTCTGATGTATGGGGGGCCATTCACAACATCGTCTTTGGGTGGATCTAGGTATTATGTTACTTTTATTGACGATTTTTCACGGAAAGTTTGGGTGTATTTTTTGAAACAGAAGTCTGACGTTTTTGAGAAGTTCAAGCTGTAGAAAGCTAATGTAGAAAACCAAATAAGATGAAAAATCAAGTGTTTGTGGTCTGACAATGGTACAGAGTACACATATTCAGAGTTTTTAAACTACTGTAAGGAGCATGGGATTAAGAGGCATTTTACAGTGCGCAAAACATCACAACAGAATGGTGTTACAAAACGGATGAACATGTCATTGAATGAAAGAGCCAGATGTTTGTGGTTGAATGCGGGCCTTCCCAAACACTTCTGGGCTGAGACTGTTAACATGGCATGTTATCTTATCAATAGATCGCCAAGGACATCATTGGATGGGAAAGTTGAAAAAGAGGTATGAACTGGTCATAATGTTAGTTTTGATCACTTACAGATTTTTTGTTGCCCTGCTTATTTGTATGTACCTGCTGATGAGAGATCCAAACTTGATGCAAAATCAAAGGAGTGGATCTTTCTGGGTTACAATAAAGGTGTCAAAGGATTCAAGTTCTGGGATCTAGTTGCGAAGAAAATATTGATAAGTAGAGATGTTATTTTTTATAAACAACCCATGTTACAACAGAAGAGAGACACGACAGTGGTCGATTTCAAGTAGTTTCCAGTTGAGAAAATAGAAACTTCTCAACCGACTTCTGGTGGTTCCGCTACGGATGATTTGTAGGATTATAGTCTCGCCATAGACATGGTGAGACAGACGAATAGAAAGCTTGCGAACAGATTGGGTTTTGAAGACTTGGTATCTTTTGCACTTACTGTTAGCAGTGATGATCCGGTTACTTTCATGATACTGTTACTAGTCAGAAAAACTACAAATGGATGGCTGCCATGGTTGAGGTGATGAAGTCTTTGAATCACAATCGCACATGGGAGTTAATTCACCTTCCTAAGGGTAAGAAATCAATTGGTTGCAAATGGGTGTATAAGAAGAAACCAGTAGTAACAGAAAAAGATGGGGAGAAGTTCAAGGCTCGTTTGGTAGCAAAGGGTTTTTCACAACAGAAAGGAGTTGATTATGATGAAAAATTTTCTCCTGTGGTCAGGCACACTTCAATCCGAGCAGTACTTGCATTGGTAGCTAGTTGGGATTTGCATTTAGAGTAGATGGATGTTAAAACTGCTTTTTTGCATGGTGATTTAGAGGAGCAGATCTACATACAACAGCCTGAAGGTTTCACTCAACCTGGAAATGAGCATTTAGTTTGCAGATTGAAGAAATCTTTGTACGGGTTGAAATAGTCTCCGAGATAATGGTACAAACGGGTTGACTCCTATATGATCAAGATTAGCTACAAGCGTTGTGAGTATGATTATTGTGTCTACGTTAAAAGCTTTGATGGTGTTTTTTTTGTTTTTTTTACTGTATGTTGATGATATATTAATTGCTGCGAAGAACATGGATGATATTATCTGTTTGAAAACTTTATTGAGTCAGGAATTTGATATGAAAGATTTAGGTGCTGCAAAGAAAATTCTTGGAATGGAAATTGGCAGGGACATAGACTCAAGGAAACTGTGGCTATCTCAACGGGGTTATGTTAAGAAAATGCTAGAAAGGTTTGCGATGAACAACACAAAACCAGTGAGCACTCCATTGGCGAATCACTTTAAGCTCTCATCAGAACAGTGACCAAAGACAGATAAGGAAGCTGAAGATATGGCAAAAGTTTTGTATTCTCTTGTTGTTGGCTGCTTGATGTATGCAATGGTATGTACTCGTCCTGATTTAGCTCATGCTATTAGTCAAGTTTGTAAGTACATGTCTAAACATGATAAGCAACATTGGGAAGCAGACAAGTGGATCTTTAGGTACTTAAAGGGTACTGTGGGACATGAAATTATTTTTGGTAGTCAGCGGGATAATCCTTTGTTTGTAGGATATGTGGATTTAAACTATGCAGGTGACTTGGATAATAGAAGATCTACGATAGGGCATGTCTTTACTCTTAGTGGAGGGCCTATTTGTTGGAAGTCTACTGTTCAATCTGTTGTGGCATTATCTACAACTGAAGTTGAATATATGGCAGAGGTCGAAGCTGCAAAAGAAGCTTTATGGCTTACTGGTTTAGTGAAGGAGTTGGGTGTTCAGCAAGGTGGAGTTCAGTTTATTTGTGACAATCAAAGTACTATTCACTTGGCTAAGAATCAGATATATCATGCTAGAACTAAGCATATTGATGTAAGGTTTCACAAGATCAGAGAGTTGGTTGCATCTGGAGAGATTTTGTTTCAGAAGGTACATACTGATGAGAATGCCGCTGATATGTTCACCAAGCCAGTTACGACAGACAAGTTCATGTTTGCTTGGACTTGTTGAGTGTTTTGAGTTGTTAAAGAAATAAGGTAACCCACATTGAATGTTTCCTAAGGGGCAAAATATTCGCCAAGGTGGAGATTTGTTAGGCATGGCTCATAAATATACCGAAAAAGTCTCGTAGTGGGGGTTACGATTATGTGGATTGGGGGTGCGGGGGCTGCGGCCCCGCGGTACGGTACAAGGTTATTTTTGTAAATATGTAATAAGGTTATTAATTAAAAAAGGAGATGTAACCTAAACCTATGAGACATTGAATTGAATAAAAATTCTAGCGCCGTCTAGGGCACCGAGGACGTAATCACATTGCTGAACCTCGTTAAAATTCTTGTGTTCTTTCCGTTTTCTTTACCCGATCATTCAACAGAATCCTTACCGGTTAAATGAGGTTTTTTTCTTAAAAGTGTCAAATTTAAAGTTTCAATTTTAGTATTTGAAACCGAGAATCGCAACGCGAAATGAAAATCGCAACGACATAATCGCAATGCGATTTTAGTTTCGCGTTGCGATTGTCATTTCGCGTTGCGATAGTTAAATTCGCGTTGCGATAGTCATTTTCGTGTTGCGATTTTAAGTTTCAAAAACTATTATTCTTCTGCAAATTGAAACTTGAATGAATTGCATTACTTTAACAAAAAAACAAAGACAAATACTAAATTCACAGTGTTGCAAATTTAAGTTTGAAGAATAAACTACTACTCTTTATGTTTATTGTTGTTTTTAGTATATCTTCACAGTGTAGTTTGTGGTATATCTAACTTGGTATGTTTATTGTTTTTGTAGAACTTTTATTCGGCTCAATTGACCTTAAGAAATAAATTAAGCCTGGCCAAAATAATTGCGTCGAAGCTTTCACCTGCACAAAGAAAAATATTTGAGGATACTTGCTTCGGGCCATGGCTGAAAGTACAACATCCGGGTGGAGATGCTATGTTGACCCATCTGTTTCTTCAAACCATGACTAGCGATTTACCAGAGACTATACAACGTCGTGATGAAGAGATATGGTTTGATTTTTCACCGGCGTATACGTGTTTTGGGCAGGAGGAGTTTTGCTTAATCATCGGTCTACGCTTCGGACACGATGATGTAGGTCGGTACACTAGACATATTACCCGCCTATCATGGTTATCTCGGGTTTTTCCTGAGCTGTCAATGGAGAAACCGAATTTACACGTAGAAGACTTGAGGAGATTATTGAATAAGAAAGATGGTTTTACTCGGATGGATGACATCGATGTTGTCCGAGTATGCCTTCTAATACTTTTGCATGCCGGCTTTTTAGGCAGAGAGGCCAGACAACCTATTCCTAATGATCTAATTAAATTGGTAGAGGACCTAAATGCATGGAACCTGTTTCCGTGGGGTTCGTATCTATGGAAAGCTACATGGAATAAGTTGTCGTCTGCCTTTGATGATCGAAAAAGTTTGCGTGGCGATGGTTCCAAATACACTTTGTCAGGCTTTATTTGGGCCTTTAAGGTAAGAATTTTTATATAATGTTTCCAAAATTATAATTAATTATTATTTAATAATTACTAATGTTTGTTATTATATTGTTTGTAGATTTGGATATTTGAGGCCTTTCCCGCCATGCAGACCTATGCATTAAAAACTGCTAATGATATTCCTAGGCCTATTTCCTGGAAGAGGAAACAGACCTTGCAACAATGGGAAGATTTACTACCGTATACGACAATAAATAATGTAAGTTAACACAAATACTACCATATGTTTATAAACAAGTTATTACTAGTACATGTTTAACTTTGTTTGAGCTTTTATATTGTTAGGAGTCCAACACTCCATTACAGAGGCTGACACCCACGGAAGCTGAGCTTGCCACTGATTGGTGACAAGCTAGTAAGCATTTTTTTGATGGCACGGATGATGAGCAGCCTCGACTTCGAGAGCCATCACCTCACCCAGAGCCATCACCTGATCGACCCGACTATACACCTTCACAACGAGAGCCATCACCTATTCTGTCACATCATCGAGCCTCTTCTCCACCATCACCTCATGATAGGCGACCGGCAAAGATTCCACGACGTTTATCTCCCTATTCTCCACCTCCACCTCCACGGGATGAGTAAGGGGAGTTACGTGATGAGGTCAATGCCTTGCGTGAGGAGCTCGATACTTTACGCGATGACAATGGTGCATGGCGTATTGAGGTGTCTACTTTACGTGGTGAGGTAGCCGCTCTACGTGAGATGGTAGAATCGTTGCAGAATGAGGTTCATACTCTACGCAACGAGGTAAGTTTAATATTTTCCATATTTAACTTGATGATAAATTTACTTGTAATTTAACTTAGATTAACCATTTCACTTAGATTAACCATTTCACTTAGATTGCTTAGTAAATTCATTCGGTTGCTGCCAATACTGCTAAACTGTTTATTCTTTAACCCTGTGAAGTTAGTATTTGTTTTTGGTTGTCTTTTGGTTGAAGTAATGCAATCCATTCAAGTTTCAATTTGCAGAAGAAGAATAGTTTACTTTCGCAACGCGGAAATGACTATCGCAACGCGAATTTGACTATCGCAACGAAAGAATCGCAATGCGAAATGAAAATCGCATTGCGATTCTCTCGTTACGATAGTCAAATTTGGGTTGTGATAGTCATTTTCGCGTTGCGATAGTCATTCGTGTTGCGATTTTAAGTTTCAGATTCTATTCTTCTTCTGCAAATTGAAACTTGAATGAATTGCATTACTTCAACCAAAAGACAAAGACAAATACTAACTTCACAGTGTTGAAAATTTAAGTTTCAAGAATAAACTACTACTCTTTATGTTGTCATTGAACCTGCACTAAACATATATGTTGTCCTTTTAAATGTTTATATAAGTGATTACTTCTGGAATGTTATCTGATGCATTTTGTGAACAATGATAGAATAATGACTTGGGTGAATACCGTGCAAGTTTGAAATATATTTGTCTTTGTTTTCACTGTTTATATCATGTCTGTTTATTTACTGATTTATGTATTAATTTATTTTTAGCGGCCCGCTAAGGTGGATACTCTACGTCGGGTTTTTCTTGCAAGACGGAGTTCACGCATCAGACGGCGTGCACGTTCCATTAAGTCTCCGTTCACCCCAATAGTGCGAAGAATCCGTAAGGAAAAGCCCGACTCACCTGTCATCGTTCAAGAGGCCTCCCCTATCATTCAAGAGGCCCCTATCATCCCTCAAGAGTCCCCTCCCACCATTCAAGAGGCCACTGTCATCGTTGAAGAGGTCCCTCCCAACATTCTAGAGCCCGATTCACACGGCATAATATATCGAATTATTGAGAAACCCCCTCACGTACCGGACATGATGGATGACTGTTGGCTTTCGTATAAGTTACCGACCAGTACCATTCTGGCAGATGAAGTGGAGAGGAAACAACTACCGGAAACAATTCTGGATAATACCCTTTGGGCTAAGACCGCAGTTGATTTTTATCTACATGAGCGGAGCCAAGGGTGTTACGTTGACATATACAAACTCAACGATGATATGCATTTATTGATTGAACGGTCTTGGTGGGGTATGTTATTAGGGGTTGAAGACAATGTCTATTTTGATGGGGGGGTAAGTCTTATATTTCTTCTTATATTTCATTTTGATTAATTTTTTTGAAATTTATGTAATTCACTAATATATGTCTTTTTTTGTAAAACATCATATTGATGCATGGATGTCACGTCTTCTAATAGTAAGGGCTTTGAAGAAAAATAAAAATAAAAAAAATACGCGATATACAATTATGCCGACGTCTTTTCACGTAGTTCACTTGAAGAATCAACAACATGAATCATATGTGTTGGCTAATGGACAAGCTAAACTTTATCCTGTATGGTGGGAGGTCGATAAGGTTAGTATTTATTTTTTTTAAATATTTTAAAGGTGTTCATAAATAAGTGCGCAATTTGAATTATTACTTATGATTGCAGATGTTTATCCCTGTTTTGGAACATACTCATTGGCTTCTCGTCGAGCTTCAGCTCCCATCCCTGGAGACAATAGTATATGACAGCATGATAAATTACATATCATTGTCTGATTTGAGAGATATTATTAAGGGATGGAGCTCTCATTTGGCTAAATTCTTGGATGCGATTAATTATTGGACTTATTCTGGAAATAAGAAGCCAAAGAAGTTCAATGTTACAGTTATCAGAGACGAGACCATACCACAACAAACACCAGAAGCCAGAGGGGATTGTGGTCCTCTCGTATGCATGTGCTTGGAGCGTTTGACGACAGGAAGTACACAGTTTATACCTCCCACCGATAGAGATAGAGGTGCAGTAGGCTTGTGGTTTCGGCATTTTATGGCTAGAGCGATATATTCGAGACGCTACCTACCTGCATCCGCGTTATGAAAGTGTCCATAAACAATTTGTAAGTCAAATGCAAGTGTTGTTAAGTACCTAGAATTCAATAATAATTTGTTGTTTGTTGGTTTTAGATGTGTAGAAAGTGTTATTTAAGAAAATATTTGGTTTCTGCAGGTTAATCCTGAAGTGAGCTGCGTGAAATTAATGTGCATAAACAACTGTCTGGGGTACACTTTTTTTTATTGTAATTGATTCTTAAAAGTCCGACTTGTTTAATTGATGAGAAAAATAATATAATAAGAGTTGATTTGTTTAATTGATGTGTAAATAATTCTTATTTGTTTAATTGATGTGTAAATAATTCCTATTTATGCTTGTTTAATTGATTAAAAGTTGATTATTGATGTGTAAATAATTCTTATTTGTGCTTGTTTAGTTGATTGAAATGTAAAAGTTGATTTGTTTATTTCAATCTGCATCAATTCGCGTTGCGATAGTCAATACACTTTGCGATTTTCTCGTTGCGATAGTCAAATTCCCGTTGCGATAATCAAATTCGCGTTGCGATAGTCATTTCGCGTTGCGATTATCTCGTTGCGATAGTCAAATTCGCAATTCTGCAGGTTAAATTCGCGTTGCGATAGTCATTTTCGCATTGCGATTATCCCGTTGCGATAGTCATTTTCGCATTGCGATTATCCCGTTGTGATAGTCAAATTCGCGTTGCGATAGTCATTTTCGCATTGCGATTATCCCATTGCGATATTCAAATTCACGTTGCGATAGTCATATTCACGTTGCGATAGTCATATTCGCATTGCGATAGTCAAATGAATGTGTAATAAGTGATAACAACTGAACAAATCATAGCAATGTTCAAACTCAAGTTACTAATATACAT